ATGGGGATACAAAACAGGATAAGCACAACGTTGCACCCACAAACAAATAAACAAACGGAACGGGTAAATGCGATACTCAAACAATATTTAAGGGCCTACGTCAATTATCAACAAGATGATTGGTACAAGCTGTTATTTATAGCCGAATTCACATACAACAATGGAAAGCAAGAAACAATCGGCATAACACCCTTCTTTGCGAATTACGGACAACATCCACAAAGTCAGACCACATATCATACGATTAATGATATGATACCGGACAAAACCGATATGGGAAAACTACACAAAACATTACAATACGAAATGAGTCAAGCACAACAACGATAAAAGGAACAATACGATAAGTATGGAAGACCAGATCCGAACGTACAACTGGGAGATATGGTATGGCTAATACCACGCAATATCCATATGACTTGACTGTCAAAGAAATTAGACTACAAGAAAATCGGACCATTCAAGTTACTGGAAAGAGTAGGCAGCTGAGCTTATAAACTCGAGCTTCCCCCCTCAATGCAAATACACAATACATTCCACATCTCACTCCTCGAATTACACAATGACAACAGGTTTCCCTTACAAACACTTATTCCTCCCCCTCCGATCCAACTCGACGGAGAACCAGAATCTGAGCTCGACGAAATAGTCGATTTCTGCTTCTTCCACAGTCATCTCCAATACCGAGCCAAGTGGACAGGATATTCGTCCAGACACGATAAAATTTGGTACTTCGCAAACAACTTTGAACACGCACAAGATGCCATCTCAACCTTCCACCAGCAATACCAAGGCAAGCCTGGCCGAGGTGACGATCATGTTCAACCAAGACAAAGGCGAGGGAAAGGCTCCTGTGCCATTGTAAGAACACGAGGGCTGGGGCCATAGCCCCCGCCAAACCACACCCACTAGCTCCGAATACTCATTCATGGGGCCAACCGACAAAGAACTCAGAGAAAGGGAAAAACAAGCACAGCATAACGCCATGTCATGGACGGTATGCTACAATGACGGTTGCCAAACACATTTTGGTAACCAAGTAGGCTCAGGATGGTTCTCGAGAGAATGTCGAAAGCGTGGCCCATGCCCGGACCACATCCTGAAGCATTGGCAACAATGCTTCAGAAATGGGTGCAGGATGCACAGGGCACAGAAAATATCTGTGGGATTTTACCCACAGAAGGATGGAAGCAGAAAAGAGTTGGAAGGAGAGGATGCCAGAAAGGCATGAGCCGCAAGGACGTGATCCAAGGAGCGAGGGGCCCAAAACTACTCAGCAGACACGGAACCGGACATCAGGAGCCTACACTTGCAGATCCGGGGACTCCGAGAACAACTTGGCCAAGCTGAGGTCACAATTTCGGTAAACGACAAAACAATTATGGAGCTAAGACAGCTGAATGATAATCAGCGATACACGATCGAGATGGCGTATCTGACCCTAGAATTGGTAAGAGTCAGATAGAGGATGGCAGACGAAACGTTCCACAAGCTGAGAAGGACCATGCGCTCAGCAGGACGGGAACTATTGAAACTGGAAGAAAAAGCCTAATGGGACTCAGGCTTAGGAGGAGGGGAGCTAATGTCAGGAACATTGCTCAGGATGAAAGAGGTTTTCACTTGATGCATGGTTATGAGTCACAGGTATGTTATTGTTTTACACATATGACTCATTCGAGTCATATGATTTGTTATGTGTGGGATTTGTGATGCTTTCGCACATGGCTCAAATATGAGTCATGGGACATGCACCTGGCGAGTATGCCTTGCAAGTGTGCCTTGCGGGTAAGCCTTACACATATGATTTATGTTTCGCACATGACCTCGTTATGAGATTATGGGTTTCGCGCATATGACTCGTTTATTACGTTATGATTAGTTTATGAGTTTTATACATGATCTCGCTATTAGGTCATGGGTTTTAAGCATGTGATTACTTTAGTCACATGACTAGGTTGTTATGATTTGGTTTCACACATGTGACTACTTTAGGTCATATGACTACGGGTGGGAAGAATACTATATATAAGGTGGCTGATGCGGCCGAGGAAGATAGATTCTTCATACTTTGTTCTAAGTACTTTTCCTACTTATTACTTTAATGAATATAAAACACCTTACGATCTTTATCTTTATTGCAATGTTATCGTTACGACAAGGAAGGTTCTTCATGAAGATGAGTTAGAGAAAGCTTGCGATATGTGTTCCCGATAGAAGACAAAGGTCTTGTACTATCGACAACGTAGGCAGAGGCCTAAAGCTATCGTAAGACAAAGGAAGAAGAAAGAAACGAGAAGTATCATTCCTCGTCGCCAAGAACTAACTATCCAAAGAGGTATCGTTACAGATACCTACAATTTTTGACGTGACTGGATTCTGGATCGGTATTGGTAGAGACCAGTGGGTTGTGACTTGCGAGTCACAACGGCCTCTGTTTTTAGCGAGCTCTAGTAATAGAGAAATAGTAACTGTTGTTGAGTGTGTGAGTGGTGATGGTGCAGTACTTCCTCCTATGCTTATTGTTCCTAGTGCAATGCATATGGAGGATTGGTATACCAAGACTAAAATTTTGGATGACTTTTTCATTAGCGTGTCGGAGACCGGCTATACAAATGACCGCCTAGTATTTGATTAGATTCACCATTTTGAGTAGTTTTCTGCTCACCGGCAGGTCGGAGCATGGAGAATACTTCTGTTAGATGGTCACGATTCACACTGCACTTGGCAGTTCATTACATTTTGTGATGAGAATAAGATTATCCTCGTTTGTCTACCATCTCATTGCACGCATCTCCTACAACCGTTGGATCTCGTCATCTTCCAACCCTATAAACATTATCATGCCGAAGCACTTGATGCAGCTACATGATCTGGAGTTCAGAGTTCAACAAAGTTGAATTTTTTTCCGCCATCGAATCCATTCGTACACAAACTGTTAAGTTTATGACAATCCTTTCTGCTTTTAAAAAAAACAGGCCTTGTCCCGTTCAACTCCGATGTTGTTTTAGCAAAGCTACCAGAGATTGAAGAAATTGATATTCAACCGCCACAAACTCCATCCCCGAGACCTGAAGATACACAGTCAACACCAAAAACCTTACGCTCTCTAAAGTACCATGCCGATACACTACAGACTGACCTTCGAGACCTCTCTCCAACATCACAAGTAAGCCTTTAGAAATATCTGAAGGGAAGCTTAGCGCAAGCACATAGTGGGGGTCTTGCACTTGAGGACCTACAGAATACAAAAGTGACAGAACTTGTGCGAACTGCGCACCAAAAACAAAGTTGCCTGACACTTCAGAAGGGTGGGGTCCTCAACTCTCATAAGGCATGGGCGATGGTTCTTCAAAAAGAACAGGAAAGTGTCGAGAAGGAGCTTGAGAAAGCCCAGTGCATGCTCAACAATGTTCCGAGAGCAGCGGATAACAAGGTTAAGCGGGAGTGGCAGGAGATTTCAAAGCAAATGAGAAAGGCAGTAAAGGAGAAAAATAAAAGGCAAAAGTTGCAAAAGCTGTTGAGTTGTGAAATTGGGCATTCTGTAATACACTTTTTTCATTCTATGTAAAAATTCTATTGTTGAACTGTTACTATCGTTGAACTGTTAGGCACTACCTCGGAGTACCACCTGCTTTGGAGGTTGCTTAGCGTCATTCAAAGTGGTGGGAACCTTGGCACGGTTACAGTATTCCCGGTACTCGAGTACGAGTACGGGTATATAAATTTACCCTTAAAAACTCTTGGGATCAGCCATCTCTGGCCTGTAGCGAATATCCCTGTGAATCGCGACATCAGCCTGGATGGGTTTAGCTTAGCAATCCAACCGAATTGCCAAAGCAATTGAATTCGATCCAACACGGCCAATTGGCTTGGGCTATGACACGTCAGGAAACCGCTGATCCTTCTTAAAATCATTTGACTCAGAAGCCGGAGATGGTAGGGATGTCAGATGGTGGGTTTCAAGGGTTTTTACGGTATTATACTCGAGTACAGTACGGTACTGTACCAGTACCGTGCTTTGAATTCCGGCGTGGTGCCGTTGGTGGGACCGTATGGGTACTCGTGCAGTACGGGTGGCAAATGTGACTGCCGGGAGAGTGCCAACTGCTGGGGGATAGTCACGGGTATGATAATGGCGGTTCACAATCTGTCCGGACACCCTGCTACTGAATGATACTTGTCTCAGCACTCGGCGTCTGAATACTTTGTCTCCTTACAGCAGGACCAAAGGAGCGGGTCTTATGTTCCACGGTTGGACAGAGTTAACTTACGGTGCGGCTACAGTACTTGAGCTACGGGTGTTGATACATAGCCTCCACACAAGTACAAGTACCACTTATCTCCGGGCTGTCACGAATATCCCCGTAAATCACGACATCAGGCCAAGATAGGTTCAGCTTGTCCGGTTAACGAGATCCAACACAACCATATGACTCAGGCTGTACCGTGTCAGGAAAGCACTAATCCTTCTTAAGGACCCTTGACTGATAAATCCGGAGATTAGGGGCTGACGGAGATAGTGTATTTCACGAGATTATACTCGTACGGGCCACTCGAGAACAGTACGAGTACGAGTACTGTACAGTACGCACACTTTCTTTTTTTCCTCGTGATCAACGGGGGGAGGCCTCGCTGAGCAGCGCTTTCTCCGCACAGTAAGCAGTAAGCGATCCTCCTCCACATAGCCTATTTTGGGATTCTGTGCGGCCCCTCAATGGCGATCGCGATAGGCAAGCTCTTCGCTTTCCAAGTCACTCTCATAAGGTGCCAGGATAATAAATTTATTGAATGTCACAAGGTTGCTGCACTGCACCCGCACCTCCCAATTGTGCGCGAAAACGACTTCCTAACCCAGCAGCCTAGCTCCAGTATTACCGGCGCACCAGGCACGATCACGATGGGACAGCAGTCTCCGGTAAGGTTATGGAATTTTGCATAAGGCGAAGCCTCTGTAAAACTCCGGTGAAAGCACATTTTGGACTATTTGCATAACATTCTGGGGTCCATTTTCAACAGCGGAGTCAGATAAGTTATGCTCTACTTGCAAGGAGAATTAACATCGCTGGGGGATGTCACCGCCTCCAGCTCGGCTCAGCAAAAATTTCTGACGAGCGTTTAATAGAGGCTTAAGACGTTCTACAGCCGCCCCGCCGCTGCCCTTCGGTACTACCGGCACCCCACCCGGTGTATGTACGAGTACAGAGGGCTCTATCGTACCAGCGGCTCCCCCTCTCAACCATAGCAGGAAGGATTGCGGCCAAGAGACCAACCCCGCTAGGGCCTCGAGGCCATGATACGAGTAGACTTCCAAAAAGAATACCGAGATGTGCTTTGAGGAGCACTTGGATAGGCTTTCCCTACTTGTGTTATACCGGTACTATATCATATTTCTGCTAAGCACAGAATTGATCGTCCATAAAACTTCACTTGGCTCTTCCCTATTCACCACTTGAAGTTTATTCCTAAGCCACGCCAAAGATGCGATGGAATCGGAGAGGAAAGAACCATTTTGCGGCTGAGTCAACATACCGGTATCACTGCTAGTGGCACCACACCACCCACCGTGAGGGTTCGCTAAGCGCAATTACCATCCGCAAGGCCCCAAACCTCGTCCTGGTTCAATTTATTTCGAGCCCCTGAAGGAAACGACCCAAACTATGATCATACACCGCGACATCCGTACTCGTCGGTAATAAAGAGAAACAAGTTCGCTTCTCACTTCCACGAACGCCGAGATGGATCCCGTGAGTTTTCTTAGTTTAGTTGCAGGCATCCCTGGTCTGTTTACTAGTTGTCTACAAGTCTACGATTTAATTTCAAGCGCCGCCTCCCATGGATCGGATTTCCAAGTTATGCTCTCTAAAGTTGATGTGGAGCACGCGAGGTTCATTCTCTGGGGAGGAACAGTGGGCTTGATCCAGAGTTCCGCATCATCAACGGGCTCAGCGTTCGATCCTCGAATTGTGCATCCGCATATACTCGAACCTGTCGCCAAAATTCTTTCATGCATCCAAAAATCTTTTGAGGACACCGAGAAGCTGAAGAAACGGTACGGGTTGGTAGCGGGTGGGGGGAAGTCATCATCACTTCCAAATGACTCCATCCAACTGTACGAGAGACCAACCCCTGCCTTCCTCTCCCTATCGATTTTCAAGGAAATCTACGAGCGACAGCAATTAGCAGGGGAGGAAATGCAAAAACAAAATTCGGTACTTAAAAAGGCTCGTTGGGCTATCGTAGATAAGGGAAGGTTTAGCACAGCCATCAACGACCTCAAGACCTTCAACGATAGTTTACATAGACTTCTTCCTGACGTTGAGTGGAAGACTCAAGAGCGCCTCCGGCAGGAGGTTCTAGCTAGCCAAGACGAGAATGTATTAAGATTGTTACAGCAGGCATCAGAGGGAAAACATACGGGTCTCAAGAGAGCGGCTACTACCAGACTTAATAGGCTTAATAGCAGGCATCAACCCCCTCAAATAGCTGCCCCGGAAGCTCATGAGCTCCCAGCTATCAACGATCGCGATTTTAGCAACCCTAGAATATGGGACGTCACCACAAGCCCCGGGTGGGCATCCGGCCAAGGCTCCTATGTGGAGGCTGACGGAGTAGAGAAGCCCAGATCAAAATCCTTCCCGAATGCTGCAACCTTGGCCGGCCCATGGGATCAGGGTGGCCATCCTAATTCTCCTGCAGAACTGCCGTCGAGCGGGTCGCCCATGGATATACGGGGATCAGCCAGGTCTCTTGGAGGACGAGGGCCGAGGGCAGAGCTAGAAATTTTCACCTCATCTCGAGCCACCGAGGGGGAAGCGCTGGATGGTCCAAAGTCACCAGATATTGTCTATTTGGCGGGGATGCATAACCTCTTGGATTTTCCTGATTATTTTTCGGGAGGTATTTGGGATTGTTTCTGTTATTTGTGGGTTTAAGTTTGCTGATGTGGCCCCGAAGAGATGACTCCGCCCCCGAATGATGCGATACCCGAGCTCAGCGCCGAAACTTTCAACCATGTTCATGTTCCTCCTAAGTCGGGCTACGCCACCTCCCCTCCTCTCACACCAAATCCAACAGAAGCTTTTTATATATGCATTGATTTCCAAGATAGCGGTACCAGGTGAGTTACCTGGCGCCTCAGAAGATATAGCTCCATTCCACTAAAGATTGGATCCAGGGCAGCTATAGCGCATTCATCGACCCCAAAAGACTCTGATGTAGTAGGTGGATGGCCCGATAATGATACCTGCGATTCCTACATCCAGAGTGCATGGGTCCCATCTGTGCTAGCATATGATAGGTCTGACGGTGGGTGCCAATGGGGGTATCAAGTCCAAGAATCGCAGGACCAAGCCGGCTGGTTTATTGCACACCTCCAAGGGGAGAAAACCGGTTTAATGACTTACCTTCGGCGACACGATAAGGCGCTCCGGGAGGCTTTAGAGGAGTACTTTTATCATCTGTTACGGCATTTGCTAGAGGCTGCTGAGAAGAAGTACGGGCGTGATATTTATATCAACTCGGGAATCGGGTGCGCGCTTATTGTGTCGAACAAGTGGGAGAACGGCGTCCGCACCCCGTTGAAGGATGCGGTTCAGAACGCGCTCCTTAGTTTAGGAATCAACTCGGACGTCGCACTTCAAGTTCATACTTCCTTGGCTGCTTCGTACATCTCCGCTAGACTCTTGACGCTGCATCTCGAGGAGAAAATTGGCACGGGTGGGAATTCCGTCGAGGGGAATGGAGGCTTATTCATGGTCTGCCACATAAGTGCCGAGGCGCGGAAATCAATTGTAACCAACCCTCCCTTTCCCTTCTTGCCACAAGTCTCCCAACAACTGCTGACCTCTAACTCCGACCAGACAATCCAGACCCTCCAAGGCCGGCCAACCCCAAGCCCCGAAGCCACAAATTACCGTCCCCCGCAATTCTCCTCGGTCGGGATGCAATTTGTCTTCAGGGAATTCGAAAAGTTGCTCGAACGCCATTACGAATACACCGGGATCCGCTCCCACAAGCTGTATGATAGTGTTCGGAAGAACTGGCTACGCGCCGTACAGGAGTTCTCGGGACGGCAGAATTCTGTTTGGATTTCGTGTCCTCACTACCCGAACTGCTATGAGTGCCATTGCGTGGGTGGGGAGTTGAGCATTACTAAGGGACAGATGGAGGGGATTCTGAATATCTTTTTCGCGGAAGTGTGTGCGCAGGTTCGGGAGGGGTTGAAGAAGGTGCCTGGGCAGGTGGGGGGGAGTAGAGCTTTTAAGGTTTGTCTAGATACTTGATGTCGTTATGGCTAGGGATGGTATACTAATGGGAGTGGTAGGGCATATATCTTTGTGGCGATTTGGGATCCGAGTGTAGCGCCATGTACGGATACCTTCGCAGAGAGCTACCGGAGCAGTCGATCTATCAACTTCCAAGGAGGTGAGTATCCATTGGCTAGTCTTGGTCTCGGGCGGTAGCTAACTGACCTCCCAGCGCAACTGAAGTTGCCACAGGAGCTACGGTGGCTGCGCTAAAACACAGGTCAAACCTCCCGATAAAAGCGATTTCGTGACATGTTGGTCCCGGTTAATGGCGTATGTTGAGTTGTATTGCATTTGGTCTCGCTGGGTGGGTTAGGAATCGGCGTTGGAGGTTGGATGATTTCTTGTGGGCTATGTAAACATGCTTGGTCAGATCGGCAGGATATGTGATATAACACTAGGCAATACAGAATTTCTTACGGTCCATGTAGTATTGTGATTGGGGACCGAAGCGCCAGGAGCGTAGCCAAAAGGCTGACTTAATATATTTCCATAGAGGCCGGTAGATAAATCCCTTGGCAGGTTCACTACTACGGAAATTTAAAAGAGAAGTCTATGTATTATATCTCCAAGAGTATGTCTTGTAAACCCTTTCTCCCAAGTCGTACAATCTCCTTCTAGACACGCCACTCACATTTCTCTCATACTTGTATGATATCATATTATGACAACCTCATCGGTGCCAGCCCCCTCACGCAGGCCGGGGGGTTCCTCCAACTCCGGGGCAAGTGTGTCGCCCCCTCCTGCGACCGACCATAATCCACCACTTTACTCTTCCACCGCCAAGCATTCTTCCACGCCATATGATAAATCCCCCCACAAGTCCAACCTGGACACCATCTCACAAAATGCAGCTCAAAAAATTCCCCCCTCCACTTCCCGGCAGTTCGGATCGGGAAAAAAGTATTGCTGCACGGGGTACAGTACGATACTCTACTCGTTAACGGCCAGACCACGGTGGCCGAGTGAGTTTCGATGAATTGCCCTTCCTTTCCGTTTTAGAGGCCGTGAGGCGTCACAGGCAGGTTTACCGGAATTACAACGTGTTCGGCGGGTCGGTCCCGTAGCATGGTGGAATGAATCAACCAGATTCGAGATGCGAGAGGGTTGTCAAATCGTGCTCTGATAATGCCTTGCATTACGGTGCTATGGGAAAGCGAGTACAATACGGTGAATTGTGGATGTGAGGTGCAGCGACGGGAAAATGGTACCTGGCGTTATGAAATTTAATGACGAGAAGTGGGGTGTTTTTCCGTGGGAGTCCTTTTCGTTGAGTGCTGATTGATTAAGATTTCTTGTAACGGGTTGGTCTTACATCGCCAATCTACAGAGATTGGGCCATTGCTTGACAGGTATTGGGATTGGACGTTGGTAGTATATGAGGGCTGTGCACAGGAGGGTGCTACTGATGAAGAGCAAAATTTGGCCTACAGTATTCCCACTCTCAATACTAGTGGTTAATTATGCGCCGGTATGATACTCTATTTAAAAACCTGAATCGGGCTACCTTCCCTCCTCGAGACGCGTGGTGTAACCCCCCGCTTGATTGCATGACCGTTGAGATCTGTAATATATATATTCTTTACACTAGACCGGATAGCGACGTCTGGTCAGTCTATAGCAAGTTGGAGCGTTGCATCGTATTGTGCCGGACTGACGCTAAGTATCCCCACAATTCTGGCCATATTTTAAGGCGAGTGATGGTCCGTGAGACAAGGCTGATCTGTAAATTTACTGTAAGCAAAATCCGCCGAGAGCGTTTCATTAATAATTACTATTAGTGTGTTCGAGTAATGATAAGGCCAGTTCTTGCTTGCGCAGCGCCAGAGCCCGACAAATTTCCACCCCCTCTGTAATCACTTTCTAGAGATTCCCTCGAACCCCGAGAAAAGTCATATTCTCAGTGCATACGATCCTTCTACCTATCACAGAAACCAGAAGCCGAGGGGCAACAAATATTGAAGTGGCTATCACCACGGGAACCACATCAACGCCATCAGGGTGTGCGAACCGAGCGACCTGATGGAGTGGGAAACTAGGCTCTAGAAACCAACGAGTTCAGAAGATAACGTGATATGAAAAATGGTTGCGTTGAGCTAGAGTTTTTCTGTTCCGGGGATCCGGGGGTGGGAAAGACGTATCTCGGGTGGGAAGGGATCTTCTCTCGGGAAAGGCAATTCAGATGTCTGTCACCGGCCATCAGCAAATAATGGTTCTCTGGTTATTGACAGTCTATGCGATCAGACTGGGTAGGGGAAATGAATGGCATTGGTATCGTGGGACTCTACCACTATTTCCTTACCCAGCAAGAACATCCCACCAAAAATATGCTAGGCGTCATCCTCAAGCAATTCAACAGCAGGGGGGGATCCCGGAGCATATACGGGGTGCTTTTGGGAAGGCCAAAAAAGAGTTTGGCGGCCGGGCCTCTGACTTCCTGATGTGGTACAAACTCTGAAGTAGACTATTGCTCCGCTGCTTGGAGCATTCATATGAATCGAAACCTTAGACGGATCCATCCCGAGGCACATACGGGAGTTCCTTGGGTCGCTGCGCGAAATTGCCCGGGTGTCACCGAGCACCCGGGTATTCCTTACCGGGAGGCCCCATATCAACGACGAAATCATGGAATATTAGCAAGGTGGTTAGGACACCTGTCAGTCCTACCCAGGGTGGTACCAAGAGTTATCTGGAGATAAGGCTGGGCGGTGACCCTGATCCCGATGCAATGGACGACGAATTGCGAGCCGATATTATGCGAGTCATTCCGGAGAAGATTTCATCAAGCTTCTTTCTTCTCTGATGGAGACCAATCCCACCCAGGATTGCATCGATGTTTAGAGAATAAAGAAGGAAACTAGACACCATGAATGAATAATGACTCGTTTGTATGAGAGTTTACCTGATATTCTTGCTTACACTCCTGAGATGGCGAGAGGGGAGTGTCTGAGCAGTGCTAATGCGACAACAATATCAAGAGTGAGATCACAGCAAGGAGGCAGGTCAAAACTCGGTTTAGAATTTCTAATATGGGCATCACATTCCGAGCGCCGTTACACGTCGATGAGTTATGCTATGCCCTGGGGTAGAAAAAGGATCTACCGACTTGAATATTTGAAATTTTCCTGCGATACAAACACTGCTAGCATACTCTCTGAGGCTTGTCACGGCCGGTAACTCCACGTCTACCGTCCGCGCTATCCACTACACTCTCCGAGAGTACCTCTCCCATGATCCCAACTTGTTCCTTAAGCCTCGCTGGATGATCGCGGAGGTCTCCTTGAGTTTCCATGAGCATGTTCTCAATTTTCGCCATGTCAAGAGCCTTCCCCCTACCCTCTGTTGGGTCCCATCAAGCATCCCTTTTGTCTAATATGCTTCCTGTTAATGGGGTACACATTCTAGACGGGAGAAAACTAAAAAGGTGAAAACACTTGCATCGAGACTACTCGGTGGATACGATAAGCACATATCCCTGAAGATACTGTTATTGGATGGGGTGGGCGATGGGGACCACCTCCCCGATCAGGAAGACCCCAAGGCGTTCAAGGAGCTTCATGGTGCCGCATACCCCGGATGCTAGATGGTGGGTGCATTGTTGGAAGATGCGGATTGACGAGTTACTCCAGATGTCAAACCTTCCGATCATTCCCTTGGAATATCTCTTTATCCCATTTGTTCCCACAATCCTCCCATCCCGTTTCGAGTTTCCCGTTATCATATTATTCAGACCTTATTTGACCAATTTTGTATATATCTGTGGTCCGCTAGTAATTTTCTATACCTCTTCCTCTCTTCATATACCCCTTTTTGATTTAAATTCTACTCACCCTTACTGGGCCAAGTTATTCCATGTCCGTCCATGATTCCGTTTGTCTATGTATTATTGCATATCCTAGACACCAACTAAGTTGCACTATTAGAAGAGGGGCGGATGGAAGCTTCATAGTTATAGACAAAAACCAGACCCAAGCACACATACTGTATGATACTAGGTATAGAGGGCAAGTCTACCGAGCTTTCCCTACCTACGGTAGTTCTATGTCATTTTAACCACACAGAGAACAGTGCTTGTTCGCCAAGAGATCTACGATACAGAACCACACCTTTGTTACGGTTGCAAAAAAAAAAACTCCACAAGCGAGGGAGTAGCATCGACACAAGAAAAACACTAAAGCAAGGCAATCAAGTCATAGAAAGTTATTCGGATAGTTGGCCCCAAGACAGGCACTAATAGTCTGAAGGTGTTCAATTCCTTTATCCATGAGCGGACCCGCAAGCAAAATCTGTTGCTGAACTGGAGCCCCCACCACCAGCAGTGCTATAAATACCGTATCATACGGTAATTGGACCAGCACATATTTGTGCAACACCAAGGCCTTATGTTTCCACCCCCTATCTCCCCACCTCGAGAGATCCCCCCGAGCGCCAACAGAAGTCAAACTCTCACTGCACACGATCCCTCTCTATCTCACAGGAACAAAAAAGGAATTTTCTCAGATAATAGACTCTAGCACAGATGTCGTCAGAGCACCAGCAGGTCACCAGCAATATCAACTCTTTTAATCCGTTGACGAGCGAATTCCACAACAGAATTGTCAACTGGTTGACTGTCATAGACACTGAGCAACAAATTTTGAAGTGGCTATCGCCACTAGAACCACAGCAGCGGCACCAATGTGTTCGGACCGAGCGACTCGATGGAGTGGGAAACTGGGTACTAGAAACCAACGAGTTCAGAAAATGGCGTGATATGGAAGATGGTAGCGTTGAGCCAGCATTGTTCTGTTACGGAAATCCTGGGGTGGGAAAAACATATCTCACGTAGGAAGGGCTCTTCTCGGGAGAAAGGCAATACAGAAGTGACTAACGACCAACAAATAATAGCTCCTTAGTCATTGAAAGTTTATGCAATCAGGCTCAGGGAAAAGATATTCCCATCACGGGACTCTACTGCGATTTCCTTACACAGCAGGAACAGTCCACCGCAAATATGCTGGGAGCCATCCTCAAGCAGCTTATAAACAAGGGAGAAATCCCGGAGCATATACGGGAGGCGTTTCGGAAGGCCAAAAAAGAGTTTGGCGGCCAAGGCCTCCGACTTCCCGATATGGTAGAAACTCTGAAGAAGACTATTGCACAGTTGCCGGGGGTATTTATCTGCATCGACGCCTTAGATGAACCCGCTCCGAAGCGCCGACGGGAGCTCCTTGAGTCACTGTGTGAGATTGTTCGAGTATCACCAAACACGCGAATATTTGTTGGAAATTAAGTTATTCTTTTCCTATCCGGTGATGGGGCTGTGTTGGTCATGTGACACAGTCACATGACTGAGTATATATGCTATTATATTCTAGCATCTTCTAGAGATTTCCTTGGTATGGTGCAGTGCTTGTGTAATGATAAAGGGGTACA